TCCCTGTGCCTTTTTGCTTCATACGCAGATATTAAAGTCTTGGGGTAAATGAGCAATTCTCCGAGTACAGTGCACCTAGCCACGTGGGTCAGATTCGGAATGTGGCTGACATTCATACATGAAACAGCGCCACTCAGACCTTGCCTTGGGTTACTCTCAGTCATCCCTCAGTGACAGAAACAGATCAACGGTGAAGTTCGGCACACATCATAAATATATACATACATATTATGTGTTTATAGACACACACACACACACACACACCATATATATATATATATATATATATATATATATATATATATATATTATATATATATGTATATATATATATATGTATGTGTGTATGTATATATGTGTGTGTATATATATATATATATTATATATATATATATATATATATATATATATATATATATATATATATATTATGTGTGTTGTGTGTGTGTGTGTGTGTGTGTTGTGTGTGTGTGTGTGTGTATGTGTATACCATATATACATATATATATATACATATATATAATATATATATATATATATATATATATATATGTGTATTTGTGTGTGTGTGTGTGTGTGTGTGTGTGTGTGGTGAGTGTGTGTGTGTGTGTGTGCGTGTGTGTGTGTGTGTGTGTGTGTGTGTGTGTGTGTGTGTGTGTGTGTGTGTGTGTGTGTGTGTGTGTGTGTGTGTGTGTGTGTGTGTGTGTGTGTGTGGTGTGTGTGTGTGTGTGTGTGTGTGTGTGTGTGTGTGTGTGTGTGTGTGTGTGTGTTGTGTGTGTGTGTGTGTCACCCTCGAGATTCTTGATATTCACTACAAAAAACAAGAGTATTGTCTTAATAAACATACCTCATGAAAATTTGTATATGTATTTCACGACGGATTTCACCACAGAAACAAAATATCCACACACCTTGACCAGATAGAGCCTTGAAGGTAGGCTGGACGAAAGGAATTTTTATTCAAACATAACACGTTACTTAGCAAATAGCGGGTCTAGCCTACTTCCCCTTGTTAGTAGTGTGTCATTCGTCAGTAAAATTAGCCGTCAAAATTAGTGTTTTTTCGTGACACATTGAATGAACAATTTAACCGAACAACCCTGAGGATACGGCGGCGCCATTCGTGAATCCGAGGATGCGATACCTCACTTTCCAATGAGGCCTTATATCATTATATAGTATGAAATAAATATATATATATACAAGCAAATAACTGTGTATTTCTTTGTCCGCTTCAATACCTTTGCATCAAATAAGGTGAGTTTCTTATCAGATGTAAACTAATTATGAATCAAAGTGAATTTTCCGTTGAAAAAAGAAGCCTTTCATTGCAGTCAACAAAAATGAAAATATAATCAAAGAAACGTTTATACACTATTCAATGAATAAGCAAAATATATGTTTTCATAATCATATACATTCGTAGTTCATGCTAGATGACGTCATGGGGTTGACAACAATCCAGCCAGCATTTAGTTCTGTGTTTTGGCATACCAAGGCAGTGTCAGATTCTCTCACATTTGGTTTTGTTAACCCAGAGCGATCCTTGTTTACCATCAATCCAATTAAAGGGGATTTTTTCCACGCCTTAGATATTTAATATAAATGCAAATGCTACATTACCTGAAGGAATAGTATTGTTATCCCTATTCATACTTGCTTCGTTTTCAATGATTAATAGAAAGTATGTTATGCAATAACTTATGTAAAATGTCGTGTCTTTTCTTTTATACGGTTATTTTCTATGTACAGTGGATATGAAATCTAAACGAAAAATCAGGAACGAGTGGCTTTTCAATAGGGATTTTCAACTATGGTTGGGCAGCGCTGGAGAGGTCCCGACGAAGGCAAGCTGCAACACCTGCCACCTTGAATTCAACGCCAACGTGGCCACTATTAAGAGGCACAAGGTAAGAACCACTCCGAAGATAAAGAACATTCTAACTATTATTTATTTTAGAAATCATCTTGTTAATGTATGTTCACAATGATTTCTCTCAATAATCTATGAACTAGTTAATGCAATGTTTCGAAAATTATGGGCTATCGCTCCTTGAAACTTTTGTACTTCAGCGTTACTAACACGCTGTATTCTTTAAAACAGATAAATGTTGGTAGTATATTGTATAATTACAGTAAGAATGATAAAGATGTGTTCTCAGGCAATTTTCAATCTATCAAATGACTTTGAACATAATAACTTGGTAATGCTTCGACATGTACGTAACATCATTTTAATTATTCTTGTTTTCTTCCAGGGAATGCAAGCGCACAAGAACTGCGAGGCATCCCGCTTGTTGAGGGAGGAGTGGATGCGCAAACAGGAGGCCACCGCCACCACCAGCTGCAGGGGACAGAAGGAACATGCCATGGGGGTCAGGCTCGCCACCATTATGGTATGTTTCATAGCCGAACATAACCTGCCATTTTCTCTTGTGGATCACTTGGTGGATCTATGCAAATTTAAGTTCCCCGACTCAAAGGACCTCACATGAAAATATCAGAGTGTGTTGAAGTTGGCAAAGCTATAGGGAACTGCATGAGAGAGCAGTTGGTACAGTAACTTAGGAAATATTTTTATGTGAGTGATTTTCAAGGGCGCGAGAGTTCACGCTCACGAGTGGCTGGAAATGCGGTCCCGTTGACAACCCCTCCCCCGGAATTCGTGAACGTAATCATGACTAATTAATAAATCGTTAAACGTTGATTAAGTATGATAAACCTATAAAAGTGCAGCCAGTCTGCCTTTTTGAAATATAGAAAATTACCTGCACGGCTAGTAAATCTATTTATGGTAAAATAAGATATGAATGCACATGAACATATCAACCTAAATAGTAAGCATGGGCATATACACGAACACTTAAATTATTGAGCAGAGATAAATGGATAATGGAAAAAAACTAAATGAATAAAAATAGTAACGAATGGATCACCTAATGTGATAGCATGATCAAAATATATTTGCAGTAATCAATCGAAAACGGTGTTGAAAGAGAGAGGCCACAACTACTTTCCAGTTTCAAGTAGACTATTATATGATTAGCGCGTCGGGCACATCCGACTGGGTCTAGTAGCTAACGATAATCCGAAATTCAAAAGTTTGGTTTCACAAAGTGAGTTTGTTAAAGTATGCTATAACGGAATTGTTTATTAAAATTTTAGACCGCGGGCTCCACGATGAATGGTTTCTTTCTTATGAAGGCATCTTTATGTTTACTGTTCGAGGGAAGCCCTACGAGATGTTACGTACAAGTTATTATGTTCAAAGTCAGTGGATAGAGGTTGTCTAAAAACTGAAATGGCGATACTTTCAGTAAATACAGTGACTTCGCCAACTAAGCACTGAGATTAAAAAGGTATACAAAGGTATTCAACCCGGAAACTTGAAGTCAGCAGTAGCAGTAATTTCTCTATAAAACAGGCTGATCATCTCTATACATATATAAGAGAGAGAGAGTAAATAACCTGAACTCAGCAGTATAGAGAGTGAGTGAGAGTGAGAGTTTGTTTATCATTCTGTTTACCTGTGTTGCTATTTAACAACCCCGAGAGAGAGGGTTGCCTATCTTTATCATCATCGTGGAGCTAACGCCGACGGGGGCGCATAGCCGCATCCACCCTTTGCTTGTACCTGCCTCATGGCAAGTCGCCAGGCAGGGACTCGGCCCATCTCGAGCTCCTCACGACAGGTTTGATCGATCTGCCCAAGCCACGACTTCCTAGGACATCATCCCACAGGCCTCCTCCACCCAGGGCTGTCTCGAACAGAGACAACATGGTGGGTAGGATTATCCTGAGGGAAGCGAGCCAGGTGGCCGTAATGCCTGAGTTGGCGATCACGGATTGTGCAGGTAATAGGTCCTGTGCCATTCTCACGGTCCAACCGTTGGTTTTACATATGTTTCCGCCAACAGTATCCCATGATCTGGCGCATGGACCTATTACAAAAGGCATCAGGTCGAGACTCCAAGGCGCAGGATAGTGTCCAGGTTTCACTACCGTATAGCAAAACTGCCTATCTTGCAGCTTATTAATCCCAAACAGCAGAATGCCATCTATTCACGATGGCTCAATGGTAGAACACTCGTCTTGGGTTCGATTCCCAAGTCTTTTGTCGAAAGTTTTTGTATGCAAGTAATATGTAGATTTTAGGATAATTATACTAAAAATATATATTTATTACCGGAACAATATCAAACAATACAACATATATTACAGATTTCCCAGTGACAGGGCATTCTGTTTACCTGTATTATTTCTATAATGTTTCTACTATCTTTCATGACACTTTCTTTCTTTATGATAACTATAAAAAAAAAAATTATTACCGGAACAATATCAAACAACTCAACATATATAACAGATTTCCCTTTGAAAGGGTATGCCTTGCTCATAGATGTATTTCAACTGTGTTTTTACTGTCATCTCTTTCAGAATAATTTACACAACTCTGAAGTACTGAAATTCAAAAGGTAAACAGTTCAAAAACTTGAACTCAGCAGTAGCTAAGATTTATGAGAGAGAGAGAGTGAGAGTGAGTGTGTTTTCCTGTTTACCTGCATTACTATTTAAAAAGTAAACAACACGACGACTTGAACTCAGCAGTAGCTAAGATCTATGAGAGAGAGTTTTATCATTGTTTATTTGTATTGTTATTTCTATGATGTTTCTACTATCTTTCATGCCTCACTCTTTCTCTCTTCCCTCTTTCATGATAAACCATGTAAGAGAGGAATTAGAGGTATTATTCACGTCTTTGAAACTCATTCTGAGGATGAATGTAGTAGAAACTATAGGGTGTCTATCTTGCAGCTTATTAATCCCAAACAGCAAAATGATATCTATTCTCTCTCTCCTCTTCCCTTTCCCTCTCCTTCTCTCTCTCTCTCTCTCTCTCTCTCTCTCTCTCTCTCTCTCTCTCTCTCTCTCTCCCTCTCTCTCTCTCTCTCTCTCTCCTCGCTGCCACTTTCCCCTCCTCTTCCATCAGACAGAGACAG